GATTTTTGTCAATTTCCGTTTAGATCGATAGATATTTTTACATACGATATTGACTAATCGTACATTTTAATAATGATTTAGTTTCTCTTCGATTTGGTTTATTCTTATTTGTACTTACTTCTTTCTTTTAACAAAAAAAAACTGTTTTGTTCTTTGATTTATTCTTTTTTACTTGGTTTCGATTAAAGTCTGTAAAATTTGTAAGACGTTTATTGAAGCGGTGCTTAAGTTAAGATCTCACTAAATATCGAGATTTACTAACGTAATTGATAAATAATAAGTTTCAATAATCTTGCGTAATCTCTCGTAATTTCTATACGTATTTGGTCGTCCAGAAAGTGTCTTTCTTTTACAGACACGTCTTTTACAACGATGTATCTTTATACAAACATGAAACCTAATCTGTCGAACGTTGTGATCTTTATTGTAATAGAACAAAATGTATCATACGTAATTCGATAAAATAATATAAAACGGAAAATGTTGTGCATCCATTATTTCCTTATAAAACGAAAGAAACTTTTTGGACGACCTACTATTATTAAATTCGTTTTAAACGACCTATCGTGTCGTATGGCATACGAAGAACAGTAATATATTAAGAAAAATTTTCCACTTCTACTTAAATACTTTCGTGTCAGACGTTGTAGGTATAATTGAGATACTCAAAGAGAAATATCATTTGGGAAAAAGCTTGAATGTTAAAGATCTTGTGAAGGAAGAAAGTTCATAACGAACCTCATTTTACATTCGCTTTATTCTGATGTTCGAGGACTACTAATGCGACATCGTACATCAGAGTAATTTTCATACAGTCTGTTCTTTTAATGCAGAAAGTGGCTGTACTTCGTCATCGGTTAAATATTATTTCATAAAGGTACAGGAGAAATCGGTTGAAAGTGAAATACGAAAGAACATTCTCCAACTCGAATTGGACATATTTTCGATTCATCTACGATTCTATAATTCGAATTAACTGAGAAACATCGTCGTCATAATGGCAGCCTAATTAATAATCGAACGATCTAATGCAAACATTCGCGTTTTTTCCCAAAGTGCTTTCAGCACATCGCGTTGCGTTGCGTCGCGTCGCACAAAGCCATTATCGAGCAAAGCGTTGTAAAAACTTCGATAGAGTCGGCTGGATCGATTGCTCGCACGAACGACGAATAATTGACGCGCCAAGTTAAACAGAGGGAGGTTTAGAAACGCCGAAAGTACGATTGCTGGCACGCGAGCATTTGTTTCATGTTCGTGACGAAAGTATTTAATTAGCCTTCGATGGAAACTAATGTAGTCTTCGCGAATAAATGCGATAAAAATTCGAACGTAAAGTTGTTTCATCAAAAACTTTTCGTTCTTGAAATTTAAATAGCATTGTCATACAAGTAAGAAATATTCGGTTATTTCGATACGAGTTCATGACTCGTGTAATCTTGCTATAAGAAGAGAAAAATGCAGGAGAAATTAACCCCGTGTCGAACTGATCTTTTTTCTTTCACTTTTTGAATGTTTCGCTTTTAGGATGTTTTAGGATGTTTCACACTGTTTTTGCTTTTGAAATTTAAACTTTTGAAATTTAGTTTAATGGAAGATAATTTTCAATTACGAATTAATGCGACGATCTAATGAAATTACGAACAATTTCAGAAAAGGACTCGTCAATTGTGAATCGGTTGAGGCGAAGCGTCAAATTAGTATTTTCGTAAGTGCAACAGCGGATACAAGTTGCGTATAATAATTATCGGAGAAATTGGACAGTTAGACTATAGAATTGGCTAGATAATTAGTAAAAAATAAATATCGCTATAACCGATGAAACGGTTGAACTAGAAATTTTCCTTGAAAAATTGTCAGTTGATAGAGATGAAGCGAAATTGACTAGATTAACTGGCTTTTAACTTTCAAATATTTCTCTCACACTGTCCATCGACGAAACAAAATTTACAAATTTATTCGATCATGTTCTTCAGTGTGACATTTAAACTGTTCTTCCAAATGACATCGAGCGATCGATTTTTATTGGAGAAGTAAATTTGAAAACATTACGCATAGTATAAGATGTACAAGAAACATATAAATCGTTGCAACAATTACGAAAATTCGGTTCTCATTCGCCATACTTATTCCATGTTACAAACATCTCTGAACTCTAGAATTTGACAAATGAAAGTTTCAGCAAACGAACGACTAACGTACTTTGCACCTTTAGTAATCATTCGCTGAGAATTGCTCTTCGCGACAAATAAATTCGTTCCGTCGAAGGGTATATCGCGCAAGATTTGTAGACGAACGTTCGTCCCTTTTTAATCACGATGAAACACGCCGCGCTCTGCCATCTTCTTCTTCTACTTCTTCTTCTTCTTCTTCTTCTCTGCCCCCGCTCCTTCTTCTTATCCTATGAAACGATTCGAATCTGACCGAACGGAAGAGCGAAAGAGCAAGATAAAAGCGAAAAGAATTTCAACTATTAAATTATAGAAAATTACGCTTCCCTGGACGTCGCGATGTCGGACCCTGCTTTTTCTTCCAGTCGTTTCTCTCGCGCCAATCCTTTAACCCTCCGTTTCTCCTTTTATTACCTTTGATTCCGGACCAACTCCACCCCTTCCCGCAGGGGGTTATAATTGCGAACGGGGACCAAAGCGATCGTTACCCCCTTCCTATCCCCCCTCCAGCCCTCCATTCCTTCGACGACCGCTTTGTTATGATCGGTCCAAGTTATAGCTCCCTTCGTCGGCGCGTTTCTCGATCGGGAATAACTGACCACCGCGTATTTTTCGTTTTATCTTCACCTGCCGACGCTCGTCGGAGGCTAAATTTATTTTCTTGTTGCTTCCATTCGATCGTAATTTTAACTGGTACCATTAAGTGGCAGTTATCGTGCTGCTCTGATTTATACTTGGAAATTAGTTTTTCTTTTTTTTCTATTTTTTTTTTTTTTTAAATGAAGCTATTAGCTTCTTAATGAATTCTTAATGAACGTACAGGACTCGTTTCTTTGGCAAAGTGAATTTAATTCGTCGAAGGGTTCAGATTGGGCCCACTGATCGCAACTGGATATTTGTAAAGTTAGATATACTTGGATGAAAGTTAAGTGTTATTCGGCGTTGAGTGATAACAGGAAGAGATTAGTTATTTTTTGTTGTAATGAAACGAAGCAATATTTTTCCAGTCGCTGCTCCTTCTCCAATCTTCTCTATTTTGTCATATTGTCATGCGCGATACACACAGAGAAGTCTCGTTTACGTATTCTTTGGATGTTCATCTTTTTCAAAAGTTTAATATGAAGAGGCGAAAAGTACAAGTAGTGAGATATTAATAAGACAGTTTTCCTTTTATAAGGAAATAATACATGCACAATGCTTTTGTTTTATATTAGTTTATTGAATTATGCACGAACATAATAATAGAAATATAACGAAATGCATCGTATCATACCTAATTCATTGAAATAATATAAAACAGAAATTGTTGTTCATCTATTGTCACCTTATGAAAGAAACTTTTCGGACAACCCAATAGTTGACGAAACGTAAATACGTGCACGATGTTACATTATCAAAATGTTTCTTATAATTTTAACATTGAACATTGAACATCCATCAATCCTTTCGTGTTATCCGAGTTTTGGATCATTCTAATGCTGTACCCCTAACTCTATCATTACGATATTATATTACAATTATTACGCTACGAAAGGATGAAAAAGTAACAGAAAAATAATCGTAGAATTCATAAATCAGAGTAAACATGATTTACCGATTCCTTCTGAACCGTGCGCGTGCTTCTTCGACAATTTGACATTTTTTTAACTGGCTAGAATTTTCATTTTGCAATCTCGTTCTCTCTGAAATCCAAATTTTCATAATAACGAAATGTAGTGTAGCAGCAATCGATCAACAGTATCATCGGGCTGCTTGTTAAAACAACCCAGTCATCGGTGATCGGGATATCAAAGCAATTATTCAAATCGCGCGTTAATATCAACGTTGGCCCCTAATATTCTCGTTAATATTAACGCGTCGAACTAATTATAGCGGGCCACGTCGTGGCGATCAATTCATTTTGCCTAATCGCGTTAGATCGACAGAAACATTATACGAAATGAGTCGGAACCAGACGCAAGACAGACGTTGAATATCAAAATGCAAGTTCGTGTAATTAGTCGATCCGCGGCGTGCTCCCGCTTTGCGTTTCACTCGAATTCGTTCTTTATTGTTCAATCGCGTGTGTCGCTCGACTAATGATTCGTTGCAATTCGGCTAATTAGTTCGAATTTCCTGTCAACGTGGATAGAACAGTTACAATTTACGCGTAATCGCATCGCATACTTCGATAGATGACGAAGCAACTTTTCTAAACTGTCTCTTTCTGATCGTTAGACTGCGGTCCCTTACGCATTTTTATATTTTCATGAACGTAAATAAAGAAAGAGAATCTAAATGTCCTTTAGTCGTGAAACTTCGCTTTCCAAGCAAATCTTTCATTTTACGTACAATTTATCCGCGAAAATAACTCAGGATCGTGAAATATCGAACGTATACGGTAGATAAGAAAAACGTGGCAAAAATTATACAATAAATTTTAAAGCCAACACAAAAGTCTTCGATGAAAATTTATTTACACTGCTTCGTATTAATATTCCGATATTTCGAGAATTTTCAATATGATTTATCTCGTTCTTTCTTTGTTAGCAAAAGTACGTATATTAAATAAATAGAACATATGTTGTATGGTTAATACTTAAGTATATTTCTCTACATTCAACAACGATATTTGTTTCAATTTATTAAAAAAACAGTAAGCTAGTTGACTATTATAGACAAACGCGTACAACAATAGCGTGTGGCACATGACAATGTCCGGATATTAATAGGAATCGCTGTATTTACATCAGAATTTCACCGCAACGCTCGTTTATTTCTATCCGAAACTTTTTCAATTTTCATTTTCTCGTCAACGATGTTTTCAACGATGAATATTTTCTTCATTCCCAGAGCACACCTGCAAGGACTTTCGATGCACCCAGAACGAATTTTGCATCGAGACGGACCTCCTTTGTGACGGCGTGAATCATTGCGGCGATGGCTCCGATGAGGCTACCTCCACCCTCTGTGCCAGTAAGTTCTAATTACCAGCGATTCATTCTAGAGACCCTCCCCAGCCCGGCGGCAGACTGCGGCTCTTTCATATTTCAAATGAAATACGCCACCGGCAAATTGATTTGTAATCGAACCGCGATCGGGCGCGGCGACGAGGAAACGCCGAATTCTTCCCCGAAATGCTCAAATTAAATTTCCACCGGTGTCTTTCTTAAGATTGTAACGATCGGCGACGCCACAATGGCATCTTGTGATTTTCAGCGATTATTCGCGTTTTGGAAACTCTTCGCAGAATTATTAGCTCCCGGTGCAAGTTGCTCAAGTTACAGAAATTGCCGGTCGTTACAATGTTATTCGGATTCGTAAACTCGAATTTTCCATGCACATAATATTAGGTTCTCCTTTTACTTTCAAATGAAATCTAAGAACGCGGCAGTGTAGTTTTCAGGTAGAAGCTTGTACAGAGTGTACATTGCTATCGCGAAAATTATTCGTAGAATCATAATGTTCTCAAGCTCTACTAGTATTTATAATAGGACAAATACATTTGTTTTGTCGTAGACAAGTTTAATGATCACGAGATTGCACGTTAGATGGAACTACGAATAAGATGATATCACGTTGAAGGTTTTCTTAATTGCAATTGATTCCTGGTCTGAACGATCGTCGTAGTAATATCCACAATAAACTGATAATTTGTTGTGGTTGCGTACAACGGGAATTTCAAAGAAAAACAAAATATAGGAAAACGATAAAACAGCGAATTGTCCAGGTCAGCGTTCGCCTTTTCACGGCAAGCATTTTAATCAATTTCTGTTCCCGTCAATCGACGGCATTTCATTCCTTCTGTGTGGCAAATCTATTTTAACATGAACCCTATCGATTATGGTTCACGTTTCAGACGATTGATTGAAACAGCCTCGTGTTAATCCTACAGTCGAGTGGTAGTTTATTCGAAGGTATTAAAGGAATTTAATACGCAAGTTAATTATTTTATGTTGATTAAGTATTATAACAGCAATTGTTGTATATTGTACAATTCGTATTATTTTCAGAGGAAAATTCCATGTTCGATTATTACTATTAGCTTGATCTTTCGAATCATTTTTTATTTGGCGAAAAAAATCGATTCTTCTTTGACATATTCAATCTTTTTCTTATTCGTTATATTACAAAAATTCCATCTATTCGAATATTTCGTTACGGAGCGTAGAACATCAGTGTGGTTTCACGTGAAATTTCCTTTTCTTTTTTTTTATCGTTTTCGCGATGGTAATAGCATGTCGCCCGATCCCTAATGATAAAAAGTATACAGTACACGCTATCGATCTCTCAATTCAACGAAACTGCGTGTACTTTTCGTTGTCAGAGGGCGGTTTCTCTGCCGCCTGTTCTCTTGAACACATTGTACAACGCCCAAGGGAATTAATTCTCTTCCGTTGTCAGTTGACTTGGCACCTGGCAGCAAGATGAACTGCCATTGCTGTTTTAATCGGGAAAAGGGAACATCCCCGCGCGTAAATGGCTATTTTGATGGTGAACTTGATGTTTGAAAATTAAAAGAATGAGAAATTGAAATATTCGTCTGTAGATACGTTACAAACTATACAGTGCACAGTTTCGTCTTTTATCACTTGTTCGCTAAGATACCTGGGCTTACGGATTTTTATTGTAATAATGGTAAATAACAATAAGAAAGATCGAAAATAGATTTTGTCAAGTTAAAAATTGTATTACGTTAAAAGTAAAAGTATAAAGCAATTTGATACGATATATGTAGATTATTATTCAAAATTTTCTTTTTAATATCATCTTACAGAACAGCAATTGAATGGAAGATGAAGTTACACTAAGGAGAAAATATATCGTCAGCAATTGCACGAAATAAATTGTGTTTTTACTCAATTAGGTGAATGCTACATACTTTTTGCAGAAATTACGTATTTTAACATAATCTATTATGTTACTGATTATTTTTCACACATTTTCATTTTTCTGTACAGAGCTTAGATATATATGTTTATAGACCATTTAGAATTATTATATGAAACATAGAGAATTATCACAAAATTAATTGCTGTAAGACCAATATTATTTATAAATAAAAACGATACAGTAATCTATCTTTAATTCACCATTGTATACAGGGTGTCCTAAAATCTTGGGGACAAACTTTAGGAGCGTGTACTCATGAAAACAAGCAAAAAAGTCTTAACAAACATGGCTCGAAGAACCATTTGTTTCGGATTTACGTTCCCTACTTCAAGTCTTTAAGACAATATTTAAACACAAGGTTTCCCTGAACGTGGATTGGACGTGCTTGGCCTGTGACATGGCAGCCTCGTTCACCCGATTTAAATCCCTTGTACTTCCATCTGTGGACACTTAAAAACCTGGCGTATAACAACCCAGTTGTTTTGTCAAATTAGTCGATACAACGCATCAAAAACTGCTGTCAAGAAGTAAAAGAAATTCCAGGCATTTTATTACTTTTTTATTACATTATTATAGATATCGTTGGAATATGTGTTACGTTCTGAAAAAACGTATTGAAAAAACGTATCCAAGTGTGTGCGTTGAAATGCGTGCGTGTATTGAAAAATAAACAAACATTCATTTCAACATTTTCCGAAATTCATTTTCATTCATTCATTTATGTTTCATCTTTTCTCAAACGACAACCATATCTTTGCATCCACTAAAGTTTCACACTCGAGATTCGGCACATAAATTTCTCATTAAAAATAAACAAACACGTGTTTGAGCGTTTTTCGAAATTCAGCATCTGAACGGTGCTCAAACAGAGGACAATAAACATAAATTCGAACACTATGCGAAGCCATAAACGGTCAGCTGGTTAGAAACAAATCTGTCAGTAGATTATGTTGTGCAGTTTCGTAGTAAACAACATCGGTTTCTCTTTTCTGTATTTCAGACTCTGAGGCATCGACGATCCTGGGCATGCAGACGATCTGGTTCGTGGTCGCGCTCGTTTTTCTGATCCTGAGCGTGGCAGGCCTGGTCACAGTGGCGGTCCTCTGCTTCTGCAGGCAACGCGCCGCAACCCCGAGGCATCCCCATAACGCGCACAACGCCCAGACTCATCCTCCAGTCAGCTTCCCATGTGAGTCACAAAAAGCACACTCGTTCGCGTCTCCACGCGGCCCATTCTCCTTCTTGTGTCGTTGCTTGGTCGTTGCTTGGTCGTTGCTCGATGTGCATTCGCCCTTCCGTTCGACCATCAGGCAGTCCGCTGGATTATTCACCCTCTCCCCTTTCATTCTCAGTTTTTCGTCCCTTCGACAATGAAATTCTCTGCGTTTCACGAGTCGTGCGGGAAAGTCGTCGAGAAGAGAGGTTGGGCAAGCTCCAAAACGATTTTCCTCGATCCTCTAAACTACAAGAGAATTGAAAACGCAGGTGGCGGAGGCCAGGCTTTCGTCTATTTTCTTTTTTCGAGGTTTTTCGTTTCAGTTCGTTTGCGTTTGTTAGAGAAGCAAGGAAATCGCGAGTTGCTGGTGGGTAAATCGAGATACCTTTTATCTAAGGAATTGCAGATCGCGTGGAGAAAATTGAGTAAGGTGAACTCAGCGAAAATGTAGATAGAGAACACGAGACTTGATATTTGATTTGATTTTTAAAGGGAACAAGTAGCGAATGTACAACTTAAGAGGATAAATTGTTTTCAGTTGGTTTTTAGTTTTCTTCTCGTTGAAATTAAACTACGTGGTTACTCTATGATTTAGCAAACGGTTGTGTTTGTTTTGTTCCCGCTGGGCAACCATTTTTATACCTTTCACGTTGTTCCTGCTGTTTTGAAGGATCTATAAAGAATCAGATTTGATAAATTGCCTGGTAGTTGGGAGTCGTGTGAAAGAAAAGCCATACATTACTCCTCGACAAAAGTACCACGACATTTCTTAACCATCTATTACGCTATACTTATAGCTTGCAAATTGCATACTAATGTCTCTATGTTTTTTAAACGTAATTTTATTTCCTTTCCATTGTGCCATTATGCCTCGTACATTGTTAGCCCATCATCCTAGCTCCGCTCGATTCACGTAAGTACCATTGTTAATTTTCAAGTTTTAGACCAAAGTAGGAAACTGATAACTGCGAGAAGAAATCTTTTCCTCTGAGTCGAGAAAATTTTGTTTATGGATGTGCAAATTTTTCGGAGAAAATCTGTTGAATTTTCTCGAACGAACTTGAACTTTGACAGACTTTTTGATATTTGCAAAAATACACCAGTTCTTCTTTTACCAAATTTCCCCGCGGAAGAAAAATCAAGGAATCAGATTTTTATTTCATTGCGGCGTACCATTCTAGTTTTATTTTTTATAATAATTGGAAGCAGGAGGGAGAATGGAGCCACGTTCTGGGGTATTAATTTAATCTCTGACCGGTTGAGCGAGATTACGTTTAATTAGCTTCTAAGACATGCCTTGAGACGGGTCGAGCCAATAAATGAAGGATGCACGGCCGCGTTTGTAGCTCGTAAACTGTGTATAATTCGACACGGTGAACGTGATACAGAAATAGCATGCACAGTTTTAATGGTGCATCCCGTATTAATTCATCAAAGGGGCGACTAATTAGTTTGGCGCAAGATTAATTTATCAGGCACGAGGAGCTAAACTCGATGAAAGGTCACGCATGAAAGCTGTTCGTAATTCACGTGGAATATTTAATTTTTTCGATGAAAGGACTAAATTGAAAGGATCAAGGGAACCTATTATACATTTTGTTTCGGTAATTTATCTTGGGTGTGATTTCAAAATAAAATTACCTTCGAATTTAAAGTTATTATTAATTTACGATGTATTTGACGTTAAGCGAATGAAAAATACTCTTTAACATTGATAATAAATAATAATATTTAATATTAAAGAATAAAGAGACTGTCGATCATTTTTACATATATATTTTAATCTTCTGTTATTTATTCGATCAAGTTGCATTAATCGAATTTCTTTCGCAGTATTATCGAAGAAACGAGAGTGTACAAATAATAATGGAGACAAAATGAAAAGCGATACTTTGAAATTGATTTCCATGAATCAAATGTTCATCGTAGAATACACACAATGCTCGTCGTCATTAACGAGCCAAGTGAAATATTTGTCTCTATGTTTTTTCTTATTTCTATGCCTGTCACCGCGCTATAGTTTCAATTTTACCTATATGAATTTTATCTGCGGTATTCTCTGACTTGGAGAGTGGCGTTTGAGATCTGAAAATCACCATCACGAATGATAAGAAACTAAATCTCTTCGAAACGTCAAACATAAATCGAGCGATGTATTTCTAATTGAAACGTCGAATCGTCTTAAACTGGTCTAATTACATCAAGGAAGTTAATCAATTTGCGCTTCTGAGAATTACATGGTCCCTTAGATCCCGTATAAGTTTGGTTGGTAGTTTCAGTTACATTTCCTTGTCTCTCCTAATTGTTTATTACCCGACTCCGCTTCTGCAGTCGTAGTATGCTTTAGAATTTAGTGCAACGGAGTTGGTAATGCAGTGCAGAAATTGGTGCACCTGAGGCTACACTACACAGCATTTAATAATAGGTTTCCTTGAGTTGAGAATACAGAACCGTCGTACGTATTAGATTAGGTTCTCGCGTTGTGTTTCATTGTTACTTCGAGAAAGTGCTTCATTTTCACTGATAGGAACATCGCGATGGATTATTTTTTAGTTAACATCGACTATACTGTTTTCCACATTCGTCTACACTTGCGTGCAATTTGCTGTTTAAAGCAGACACCTGACGTATGATTTATATTTCTTTATTCTACGGAAATATTATATTCGAAAGATTCGAATTTTTAGTTTAAAACAAATAAAACAAATGTATATCTCAGAAGGAAAATGTAATTGTACAGGAACTTTCTTTTCTCAGCAATTTTCGCTACAATTTCCATTCACGTATTTGAATTTCGTTTGAGAAAATTTCGAATCGCATCGACGTTCTTCGAGATCATGATAAGTCACATTTCATTTAAATATTACGTTCGATAATCAAACGATAAATTAGTCGACGATCCACGAGAAAGCAATTGAAGTGAAGCGAGAGTTAAAGTCATCTCGGTAAGGAATAAATCTTTTCTTGACTTTGTAAAAGCGGTAATTTAAGAGGTTGCAGAGCTTCACTTCTCCATTTACTTTGACTACGAATTCGCCAGAACGTGTATTTCATTTGGTAATACAGACGAACGCGAAACCGCCGCTGCTTCCTTGAAAATTTATCCTTACCGTTGCGTGCAAATACAAAGCAAACGAACGTCTGAGCGATAAATATGTTTGCAACCGATCATAAATTTGAACATTCACTCTCCCCGCTTTCTACCTTGTATTTTGATTATCTGCTTACTTTTTTCTTCCTCTGTTTCTTTCGCCCTCCTGTAATCTCTGTATTAACCTCGCGAGTTTCTTGGCCAAATTTATTATTTCTCGTATCCTTCGAACGGAAATTACAGCAGTGGGAAAAGCAACGTGTGCCGAGTAATATATTACGGGGACATATTTTATGGGTTCGTGTAAAATGGCCGGCGATACGTGTCTAATAGATTCCCGACGCGACAAAGCGTTCTTTATTTCGCCACTGGTGAAATACCAGGCGACTGGCAAATAATAGCAGTGGAATCACGTGAAATTGATGCTACGCGGCTGTATTATTCGGAAGGTGGCCGCGTGACGCTCAATAAGAGGAAAATATTAGTAGCCGAGGGATAATAAAAGAATAAGCTGCGAACAACTATTAGGTTGTCCGAAAAGTTTCTTTCGTTTTATAAGAAAATAACAGACGCATAATGTTTTTTGTTTTATATTAGTTTATTGAATTATGCACGAGCGTAATAATAGAAATAGATCGACCTAGTTCAATAAAATAATATAAAACAGAAATTGTTGTTCATCTATTATCGCCTTATGAAACGAAAGAGACTTTCCGGACAACCTAATACATATAAAAAACAATTCCGCGATAATTTTGTGTTTTCTACACTTTGTGCCCGGTGAAAGACGTTTTAGTTAGAGGAAGCGTAGGTAGGAAAAGGAATATTAAGTCGATTTGCTATGTTTGTTAAAACTGTAAAGACAATAGATTGTAGAATAAAACATGAAACACACGGAATTTTAAATTATGTGTTGTTGTATACGACGAACGTGGAAATTTTTGCCAGGACAATTGGAAAGAAAGGAATTTTTCCCTGCACGCAATATCCAACAGTAATCGTTTTAAACGATCTATGAGCTAGGTGAGCAAATTTATTAAAGTCACGTATTTATATAGGTTGATTGTTGTAACTTTATTTTCTCTACTATTTATTATTCTCTATTATTTTCTCTTTTATTTTACGATTGCAGTAAGTAATAGAAATATACAGCAGCGAAATAGTAAAGTATGAATGATAGAAATAAGATAAGAAAGTAGTAATAACATAAACTCGTAAGAAATTCCGAGCATGAAGTTTTAAAAAAATTACGAAAGTATCAAGCCGATTCATCACATCGAACATCAATCAAAGGGGCAATTAAAGTCCCATTGTTCTACATCTTGGTGTGGTAGTTCTGACAAGTTGCTATACTTTTATATACTTCGGATACTTTTCAAAAATAAAAAATGTTTAAAAGAAAATGTTCGAAACAGATCAATCTTATAGATGTCGAATTGATTTTTGAAAACTTATTTATTATTCCTGCATTCTTTTTTCTCAACTTAAATATACCTGATGTATCAGATTTAATTCTGCTTTTATAAACTCGAAGTGAATATCTATCGAAAAGCGCAGAAAACAAAGAAAAAAGATAATCAGATCGACAGTTAAATTAATGGATGTTGTAAAAAGTATTATGGTAATATGACTGTTTAATTCAATGGGAATATTGAATGCCAATATTCTATAATTTGGTGCATCGATTATCACAATTCTATTAATACAGTATCGATGTTGTTTTCATTGATACTGATTATAACGGACATGATTGTACCTAATCTTATCATGGCATTGGAAACATATTACGCATAGCTATTTTAATCACATTTGATTGCCTATTGCTGTATTTATATGCATTAAACCATTGTTACGCGAACAGAGACTGCCTGATGGATTATAAATATTTCTGCATCCGCTAAGCTTTCGCTAATTTTATTCCCACTGCGCTCAAAATGTCATTATTGACGATATTGAATGACTAACGATATATTGTGTATCGCTAATTAGCTTTACGCTTCGAATATCAGCAAAATGTTGAATGGATTCTAACAAATACGACATAACGTTAAGTATAATTTTGTATACTTTGAATACTATCGTTAATGACGTAAAATTATTTTCATAATAAAGGATCTTCAAGTTACTAAAATATTTCATTTTCAAATGACCTACCACGGTTTTTAATAATATTCTACTCGTACGAAATTTATATATTTAATATATGTTGGGAGAATATTATTAGTGTCACATAAGTAAATTAAGAATTATAATTAGAATTTAATATTCCTTGATATAAATTATCTCTAAAAGTCGTATTTTTGCTTCTTCGAAGCAAATCGCATTTTGGAAAGTATTTATTGGTGTCCTCCATTATCTGTTATTAAACTTATGATTCAAGAATTTAACTCTAAAGTCTTTAAACACATTTTGAGCATGAAATCTTCAAAACGCACTATCTTTCATAAATTTCTAATAATCTTTAAAATTATAAGTTACGATTCATGAGCTTTGCTTCAAGAACGTACCATCGTTCTTAGGCTCGTCAATCGTTGCTTATATTTATTTATTTCTACATATTATTACCTATTGTACGTATATTTATATTAAACGTGCTGTGTTTCGTGAATTCGCTATAACCTGTCATAAATATTTTTCTGTGCTTCGTTGTTTTATTACAGCACAATGTATAACATGTTAACGTTACACCTACACGGGTACAGTATGAAATATCGATATTTATACACAATTTATGTACAAAAGGAACGAAGCGGAAGAAGAGAAATTTGCATGATCAAAAAAACTTACAGTCGAGTAGATAAAGTAAAACAAAAGAATAAACGATCTTCCATCTATATAATCGAGATCAGATATACAGGGTGGTTGGTAACTGGTGGTACAAGCAGAAAGGGGGTGATTCTACGAATCACGAACAAAGAAGTCGAAAATATAGAATAAAAATCTTTTTTTCAATTTTTTTTTTTTTAATTTTTCCATCGAGATCCGTTATAACGAGACGTGATAAAGTGCACGCGTACCGAGCGAAAATTCAAAGTCGATTTTCTCGAAAACAAAGCCTCGAACGAAAAATTTTTATTCTATATTTTCGACTTCTTTTTTCACGTAGAATCACCCCCTTTCCGCTCGTATCACCAGTTACCAACCACCCTGTATAAATATTGTATTCATTATTTCAGAAGACAGACCAATAAAATAAAGTACAAAATACATGATTAGACGTAAATACATGTACGCGTGAATAGCGTTATTTTCTCATGAAATTCCGCAATATGCGATTGAAACCATAGAAACGATATCATCGGCGATCCACCATCGACCGTACGTTTGCAATTTTGCAAAAAATTACACCGCCTTATAAATCTCATTGCCGCCTACTCTTCCTCTTTCTCTTTCTTCTTCTCTTCTTTTTTATTACAATCTGAATCGATTGAAATTGCAAATGGCGAGTGTCGGTGTTTCACGGAGTAAATAATCGGCGGTTATTACGGCGAACCTGCGGCATGCATCATTTCGTAAACGGCGCGACATAACGGCCGAACTGGCCAGTGCATTTTAAGTTCGTGGCAATTAATAACGCATTGTCGTGTATTGTAATGCATATTGCACGGAGTTAAGCGTAACGTATGATCGACCGCAAATTCATTTTTCACTGTGATATGCGATCGCTCGGATACGTACACACGCGGAGGTGGGAATATCGTGACGGTAAATATGAACCGGTTATATGTATCGAGCGAGCAATCGGCATTAATTCGAAGATCGGTGCCTGTTGGCAAAGAGTTACGACGAAGTCGTGTGTATCGCGACGTTTGCTATCGCTAGATACGATTGCAGGTTTCCATTAGAAGTTTGCGCAGTTAATTGCATAAATTTGAACTTGTTTAAATCCTTCGCCTCGAACGACCAGTCTGATTCAATATATTGCAAGTGTCCAAACGATGGCAATAACGTTGTATATAAAATATACAACAAATCTGAATTGAATCGTACGTGAAGATTCATTTTGGGACATTTTGAGGCTTCTTTGTAAGAAATGTTACATCAGAATGAGATTTTTCGTATTTTATTATTCAGTCGGTAAAATACGTAGAATTCAACGAGATATTAGGTTACCCGGAAAGTTTCTTTCGTTTCATACGGTGATAATAGATGAACAACGATCTCTGTTTTATATTATTTTATTGAATTAGATATCATCCATTTCGTTATATTTCTATTATTATGTTCGTGAATATTTCAGTAAACTAATATAAAACAGAAAACATGGTGCGTCTGTTATTTCCTTATAAAACGAAAGAAACTTTTCGGACAACCTAATACACAGAGATGTGTACGTGCATATATACGCTTCTTAATGCAAGACGAGAAGTTGAAATGGAGAATAAGGCAAGTGACGAGAATGAAGGAATCCGCGACATTGGCTTGGAAATAAAGTGGAAAGAAAGGAATATGAAGGTATAACAAATTTAATAATATCTCGCTATTTTCATAAATACTATAGCATACTTTATGAAGAAATAATACTATGGAACTTGCGAACCAAGCACGAAGAACTTTTCCAGAGATAGAAATTACATTTTATACCGCGACGAAGAATTTCGATAAAACTTTGATCCCAAATTAATGACTCGGCTTCGGACGCTTAATTGCCAATAAAACCTGCTTAATCCTCGACGCTTTGATTTTCTTTCACACGCAGCAACCTTGATCAATGGATCGAATGAAGTAGCTTTGTTCGTTTAATGAAAGTTTCACCTTTACTAACCAGCGCAGGTAACCATTGACCCACACCGCAACGATGGAGCGTGGAGAAACGTGATCAACGAACTCGATCGCCATATTTTCAGTGCTAACCTCGGCTCTTTATTTACCGAGAATGCAGTTATTTGGGTCGGCACCGCGAACTATCGGGTCAGGAAAGCCGTGCAACGAAATTAAAGAACCTGTAGAACGGAATAAAGGGGTGGTCGTTGCAGAAGGTTCCCGGAGCAATAAAACGTACGGCGGCGTTTTCATTAAATGATCGATCGCGATGTATCCGCGCCAGTGCTCTCAGTTTGTGATATCGTTAGCCGCGTTGTTCCCAGTCCTTTCGAAACGTTCTCCTTCCATCTAGTCGTTTGCTTCGTCGTCGCGCATTACAATGTTCGTTTGTCAGAATAATTGAGGATTCTAAGCAGAACTGAAACATTCTATGAGCAATACGTTGCGATTGTTTCGGCAAATCTCCTCGAGCTTCTGAACAATAGCGCGTATTGTAGAGGACCTGTACAGGGCACCCCGAATTTAAATGTGAAAAATTCGGGAACGCGGAGGGAACCGATTAATTAAGAAAAAGAATCCTTTTGAGATTTGCATCGTTTCTACTGCATTTTGAAGAAAATCGCGAGAAAGGAAACGAAAACGTTTACGTTTCTCCGCTTGTTTATTTGTATTTATTTATTCGTGTTATCATCTGTTTAACGGAGGTTTAATATCAAATATTATCAAAGCAAAATGCAACTGCAATTAGAGCGGTTGTCGTTAGAAGTAATGATTGCATTGCTGCACCAGCATTTTGAATTGATAGATAAGAGTAATAAATAAAAGAACTAGAACGTTTTTGTTTCTTCTGTAGCGAGTTTGTCCAAAATAGAGGAAGAAACGAGTGGATCTCCAAAGAACTTTCTCTTTGTTTACCGGTTCTCTACGCTCTACCGAAATTTTGACATTTAAATTTGAGACACCCTATATAAGAAAGATAGTCGGCAGCGAGTACTTTCTAATTTCTTTCATTGATTTACTAGTACAGTAATACTGTATATCGTTATGGTAATAATTATGAAAGTTTTTATTGTTTATCGATCGTTTACGATATTCATGCACTAGAACCGAAGAAAGTTTAACAACGGAATAGGATCAAGTTTTACATCTTCTCTTGAAAAAAGTTTAGCAACTCACGATGGAACTTTTGTAGCAAACAAACTTTTCATCCTGCCGCGGAAATATTAAAAGGGGAACGAGGAAAGGGAGCAGTGGAAAATCAACGTTTCGTTTCTTTGTCATTGTTTTAGTTCGGTTGGTTATCGTTCGGTTTGAGCAGAAGAACTTGGAAAATGGGCGGAACTTGTTAAAAGTTTCTTTTGTAAAACAGCGTAAAAAAGTCGGGAATAATAGAAACAGCGAAAAAACTGGGTAAATAAAAGTTCGTAACAACGAGAGAAAGCGGACCAATCGACAATGGATGATTAATTAATTTAGCCTCTATTCTGAACAAAGCTGCTTCTATTTAAAAAATAAGCGAAACATTTAGAACAGCAACTTCGGAAATTATTTATACCACGAATCGAGAGAAATTCATACGTATGCAAATTAAGTATATTCTACTCAAATCTCTAATAAAATTTCTGATAAACGAATTTCACATTTTTCTTATATATTTTTCGATAAAATTTCAGACGCTATAAAATCTGCATTCGAATATTATATACGATGATGGTTCAACGATTGAAGAAAGAACGCATCGTGTATCACTAGTTCCATCTCTCTCCAGCAAAACTCAATTTTCTCCATTTTCTACGATTCTAATCAACAAGTTCTATTCGCATATTACTTGCTTCTTCACTCGAGTTCTCTCGCTACGATATCCTCGATACTTGCAATCAAAAACATACACACGCGCGCACACACACTTACCACTCAATATCGCTCCGGTTCAACAAGTTTGATATTCTTCCAACCAAAACACCCACGCTCTTCAACCGCCATCGTTCGTATTGTTTGTTCGTTAAACGTATTCGGGACAACGAGTGTGTGTATCCCCTCGAAAAAGAACTTCCGTGATTCGTGCGTGCATAGAGCCTGTGTATCATTGAATTTCCTGACGGTCTATCGATCGGACAGGCTGTCGGTCCGGCGAAAGGACCGTGGAAGACCGTGGCGAAAGCGGCGAAGGCGGCACGAAACGAAGGAAACGTTTGTCGGAGATTAAAAGACAGCCGGCCTCGAGCCTTAATTTCCGTCCCGCGAATAATTCAGCCCGACTATAGTCTGCTTCCCCGGTCGGCGAATAGGTGAGACATTATCCGGCGTCGCGAGACGTTAATAAATCTTGCAATGGCCCGTTGCCCGTTATCAACTCGCTGCGCTCCATTAAATCGGAACGTTGCGTTGCAACGAACCTCTTCCCACCGAACCTGGCCCATTGCGAACCCTTCTCCGCGGTTCCTCGTATTTCTCTGTCTTTCGCCGCCGATTCTTCTTCCCTCTTCATCGCGCCGTCTCTTCGATCTGCGCGATCAGCGGCCGGCAAACGCGAGGAAAATGTAAATAACCCTTCGACCGCCTACCGAAATGAAATGTAAATGGACCGCGCCCATCGAAGCCACGGGATGGGAGTGAATTATTGTACTGGGATATAAGCGCGGAGAAATGGTAAGATGTCTCGTATCGATCATTTTTGACCGATGGTACTCGACGACGTCTTAATCGGCCGTTTTGTATTATTGTGACGAAGGTTTATAGGGAGAGACGGATGGGATGAAATTGTTTGGTTCAGGTTGTTTCCATTGGATAGTCCGATAGAGTGATAGATACGGATTGAACAGGCCTTTACAATATATTTTATTTGTTGTATTTTTGTTATCATTCGTAAGACATCGAGAATGAAATTTTAATGGCAGTGGTATCGGGACTTGATAGAAATCGATACTTCGACATCTGCGACTTATCCGCGCTGACTTCATTTTCTGATTAACTAAGTTTGTCAGATGGAGATATATTTACTTGAGATTTGCTATATTTTCAATATTTCAATAAGAAACGTACAAATAATGTTACTTATAAAACTAAGGAATAATTTGTAAGTTATTTCTAAAAAAAAAGTAATTATTTTATAATTAAAGTCTAGATGGGGGCTAGGTATTGTACTAATTAAATTTTACTAATATCAATTACGTCTAATTCTAACATTAATTACATTTTAAAAGGATCGAATCATTCGGGAACATTGTTCGTTAATTTCATTCGATTGTAGCGTTCTCTTTTGTAATGTTCAGGCGTACAAGCAAATCGACCCGGTAATGGCCGGGTTACTGGGTCGTGTTCTTGTTTGTTTATCAGCCGTCTCTTGGCCGCTCGAAATCTCGTGGATTCCAGCTCAGTAGAATTTACAGAGTCGCTGGCTGCTGTGCCGCTTAACCTAAATTTTTCGTCACCGTTGAAAAAGCTTGCTATCGCTACTATCAATGATATTGTTTGTGGAAACGGAACGAAGAATTAAGAGCCGAGACAACATCCGCTCCAAGTAGGCTGACCTTAATACTATCTTTTCGCAGGAAGTTGTTTCTCGTAGAAATGTAGATTTTTATGTCGATGCATTTCACATCTATCCGAATATATATGTGAAAATAAACAATAATAGAATACGTGAAACAATGATTTTCATTGCGATTAATCATTATAAATAACCATAATTTCTTCGGTTACTGATAAACGATATTATAAAGCTAATTTCCTTCGTCCGTAACATTTACTAGTAACCAAAACAATTTTCCTCGTTTATATTGGTTAACGTGAACACTCAAAAATTAATATTTTTTAATTACATCATATTTTTACCAATCTCCTTAACATCGCTGACTTCCATTTAAATAAAAGATAGTTTTTACTCAATGATCTTTTAAATTAAAATCCCAAAGAGTGCTACTTGTAGTCTATAAACAGTACATAGATAAATAATATATTTGTTATCCTTACGAACTACAAGGAACTTTTATTTTACAATACAAGAAAATATCAACATCCATCGAGAGATCACAGTAAAAACGCTTGAAACTCCTGAAAACCAGCATCACAGCCGAAAAGCAAAATGATTATTGAAGATTGTTCCGTGAGGCATTAGCTCGCGATCCATAAAGAGGAAACGAACGTTCGAATGAGAATTTCGTACGTAAAATCACGCGATCGACGGTCCGCCGTGTCTAGACGGATTGCGTGCAAATTATCGACCGATAATCGCGTCGCATTATGCCTTATTACAAGAGATCGGACACGAGTATGCAACCGCGAGCGCAATTTGTTTGCGGCTGTTTCACGATAACCGGCTGGCCCAACGAGCTTTCATTTATAACAGGCAACCGGTTGTACGGTGGTCCGTGAGGGTACGTTCGCTGTTTGAGGCCGACCAACCAAACGAAACGACCTCGCGCTTTTTCGCGTTCGCCGTCGACCGACGTTGTTTCCGCTGAACGATCGCCTCTACCGTCACAGCGACGTGCGGTCGCGTCCCACCGTATCGCTGAACCGTGAACGCATTTATTCGCCGGATGACGCGCACTTTCCTACCATTTCGTCCCATTTCGTCGAATCTCGCATTCCACCGCCTCGTTTTACCCGGCAAACGTTTGTAAAACGTCATACGAGGCAAGGTGGATATGCTCGTTTTCTAACGGAGATACGAGGAGGGGAGGAGAAAGGAAGTTGTTGCTTGTGGAGAAATTATTATTGCGCGGGTAATAGAGGGCGAAGAGGAGACGTCGGGCTTCTGGAAGCCGGAAAATAGCGAAACTGAGTATTTAGTAGAATAGTGAAATTAGGGTAAATAGAGAATTTGATCGCTCAGCGATATTGTTCGATGTAAATTAAATGTAGCTGTATTTGCTAACGTTAGAACTAAATACGGTTTTTTTGAGTTTGATATTATCGGAGTTTGAAAAGATTTAAATAGGGAAACTTAATAGAAGAAGATAGCGAATTGTAAAGTGTAGATGAGAAAATAAGATATCTCGTTATATCGTAAAATGTAATAAGAAAAGATGTCACTGATCGATTGCCAAAAGATAATTGTTTATTTTTGTCTAAATCTAGCATATGAAAGATGGATCGTGTAATAAGCTTGTTCGCATTTTTTAAAGGCGCATCTGAGATCGTCGTGTAACATTTATTTAATCAACGAT